TCGCTTTCTCTCATCGACCTACGGTCGTCGCAAAGCACGTCGGAATATAGACAGAAGACCGTTCTGCTGCGACTCGGGCACACTCAGAAAAATGAGTGCAATCTTTGTGAGCGCTGGGAATCGCATTGAGACTTCGTTCCGGACTTCGACGGTTTTGTTTCCGAGACCGACTGCGGTTCGGATCATGATAGGGTCCGGAGATCCTATTGACGAAGAGAAAGCGGTCCACTCAATGGCAGCGTGCACGACTTCGGTGCCGTGCATTGCGGTACATGCCACCAGCCTCTGAGCCAGTGCTGAAGCTGAGGGAGGCCGAATACGAGCGTGAATCATTGGAGAGAAAAAAAGAATTCACGGCATCTTGGAAAGAAGCAGGAAATTCACGGCTTTTGGCGCGACCGTGAATCCCGTGATGAATTCCTGGCCCTACTCATTATCGATGACTCATAAACGTCTGCGAACATTTGCGATTCTAAGATATCCTCGAATTTTGAATGAGGGACTGCGAACCAGAAGCACAGACAGATGGATGAGATTCCTTCACGGGACATTTTGCGTATGACCGCAATTAATGAGGTATCGGTAGGAATACAAAGACTCAAGCTCCTCGAGGCCCAAGGAACATAATTGCTCAATAGGAATAATTCTCGGCAGTCTCAGACCAAGGAAGTCTCAGACCAAGGAAGTCTCAGACCTGATGTACCTTGAATTACCGCGTCCTGCCGAGACCGGGCTCATCAATACCCTATGATCGTGCAATCGTTGAGTATGTGTTGCAGGCTGAGATTTTCAGCAAGCTCTCGTGGAAATACGAGAAGGGATCGATCGGATGCTGATCCCGGACTCGGAGCACTCATCATTCCTTTCTGACATTCCGCCCGAGGCAGCAACGAGGGGCTCACCAGAGCATGCGCTTCGTTTGCGAGACCAATGTCGAACGGAGGGGGACACACTTCCGCGTGGTCCCTCACTGTAAACTCTGAACTACCCTGTTTTTTCACTCAATTGTCATCATCGAGGAGCCGCCCTTATTTTTGAATGTGTCCCACCAGATGATGTCACTGACTAGAAATTTTATCGAGAGAAACCGTTACGGAACTTACCGGTATAGGAGGCCTAGCTTTCTTGCCGTTCGAGCAGAACAGGATATCTGGGGATTCCATGATTTCTTGTAACGCCTTCCTCTGCTCACGCTTGTCTCGTTTCAATTGCTGCAGATGCTCGAGATAGCTCTGATAATTTCCTGAGTCTTTCAGGCTCTCACAGAACCTCACGAAGTCGAGGTCAATGTGATAACCATATGGACAACAGTCGCAAGTACCGTCCCCGCATCGAGCAAATATGCCCGGAGTCCACGTGTTGAATCCTAGAACGGCGAAGGATGACTTCGTGATTGGAGCAGGTCAGCATCGACTTCGTTATGAGAATCATAGAGCACGTCGGTCATTCCGTCGAGTTCCTCCTTGGTGCTACTTATGTCAAACAACTACCATCGAGGCAGAAGGCTCTCGCTCGCAATGATTAGACGATCGCTGCGCCGCTTTCAGCGAGGTCCGAGTTACCGTCAACGATCGGGAAGGTGATCGGAGCTTACTCACCGTTGGGGAAACGGAATTTAGAGAGGGCCCCCCGTACACGTGGCCCGGTGCTGCGGCCGAAAGATCCAAAGGCTGGCGGAGCCACAGGCGACTCAATAGGTGCCATCTGTATAAAAAACACATGATCAGATATAACGCTTTTCTAATGAGTTTCTTGAGGTCTCTGACTGGAGGCTTCGCTAAACTGGGAAGATCTTCGAGCAAGATATTTGAGGAGGCCTACAAGCTCGCTGAGAAGTCAACACTCGCCGTTGCGCGGGGAGGAACCCCGTATATGAAACAAAGGCGCATATCGAGTCATCGAGAAGCTGAAGCCTCTGAATTCCGGATGGATGTTGGGGGACAAGGTCACTTACCAGAGTCTGATCGTTCGGCAGCCTCCTCCAGCTAGAATCTGGTCCGCATCATAGTGCTTCTACGACATACGTCAGGAGGACAGTGCATCTGTAACAAGAGTGTTCGTTATTTGTAAATATCACTGGCAAGCCATCGGACTAGGAACAATCTCTTCGGGACCTTTCAATGGTCCCAGAGCGTAACCCCAGAGCACACCCGTCGTGCCTGCTTCGAAACCAGATGACGAGCGCCGAGCAGCTCGCCCTCTGTCAAAAGCTTGAACTGTGCTCATTGTCGTCGGATCCTTGACAGGGTCTCGTCACCCAGCTGTGTAAAAAGGCAGGCTTTGTTCGATGAGGATCTTCCATGGGTGAAGTCCGATTCCGCCGGCGGCACCGTGTTTATTCGAATCTTCACAAGGGATACTATCAGCATCCCGGGGTTGAAATATATTTTTCTTTCTTGTACTTCCATAGGACCCCGGATCGACAGTGTCATCCGAAGAGCATATTATGTCCCAGAAGAAAGAAGTGCCTGAGAATCTCATTGAGGAATTGAACGTAGAATCCAGAGCAGAGGAACTCCACGAAGTACCCTCGGAATATCCACGTCGGAGCAATCTTCGAGAAACGGGCCAGATCTCTCGGGCGATGTCAAGTTCACGGCGGTTTCCAACCACGGATCCTCTTTTCCGTGGGAGAGGGAGCATTTCGGCAGGTCAGGCGGAAAACATCGGGAACGGTCCATGGATCTGTGAGACTCGATCCCATCACGTATTTTTCTCATCGCACTGGAATCCGTCCAGTGGAGAACCGTCCCTCACCGACAGCGTCTCGGACAGAGAACCATCCACAGTCGAGCGAGTTCCACTTTTTGCTGCTCTTTGATCGCTAATCCCACCATCTTCAGTTACCTTCGGAAACATGAGACTTTTGTCTCACAGAGTCAAACCCACATCGGCATAAATCGCCGGCACCAGAAGAAGCTTTCCGTGTGATGAGCTGCCCAAGGAAGCAGCTATTTTTCTGAACGAGTCACGCAGAGCTCTCTGAGCCAGAACCGCTCAATTGTGCTTTCACTTTCTGCATCGGCCCGTTCACCCGGCGGAAGGCTGTCAGCATTCCTACTCGAGCACGATGCCTTCTCGGATTTTTCCCGTGTATAGGGCGCAGCTCTCGATCGAGTCATATTGAAATGTCGGAACGGTATCGTCGCGAGGGCCCTAGAGGGACCCCTAATCCCCAGAGGTTGCTTGCATATTTATTTTCCTCACCACGGCGGGTGTCCCTCACATTATTCTTCCTGAGCTGAGAATGGTCGAAAACGAGGTCACGCACTGTAGCGCAATGAACAGCTCACGAAGCAGAATGTGAGAGTGTTCACTCTCAAGTGCATCATTACCTTTCATTGGATGGTTTCAGTGTTTCGCCACGATCCACTCCAAATATTTCGCGTTCAAACCACAAGCACGGCCCGAAAAGACACGGCTAGGACCGCAGTCCGTCAGCATAATACCGGGTCGAATCATCACTCATATTGCCTATCTTCGGCTGTCATATTCCGGAATTCATGCAGGTGGGGATTTTCGTGAAAAATGAGACTTAAATAGCGGCGATTCATGCATAGAAAAGTGAAAGCGCTCTTGAATGCTTCGCAGTGCGGAATACGAATACTCGAGGAATTAAATGAAGATTGAAAAGAGATTAGGGGCGCCGAAATTCCACGAGCGGTGGAGGATAATGCTTGATGAATATCGCGGCGGGGGACAAAGAGAGATTGATCGCTGGATTTTCCGGTGAATTTTCACGTATCCGAAGCGTGCGAAGAAGTTCCCGGGCTCGGGAAGTCGTGTCGCCCGGGGAGTGTTGAGGTTCCGAAGAGGAAGGAAGAATCTTCCTCCCTCGCGGGGGTATGATCACGATAGGATGTTATACCTCCGAAAAAAATCGTTCCGAATTTCCGCCGCATCTGACAATATCTCCGTCTCTATCGGATAGCCTCAGGCTTGCAAGCTCGATCTCACGCCGTACCACGAGAAATTGACGCCTTTCACGAAGAGAAATTATTTCCCCTAGTATCAAAAAGCGATTTGCGGCCGGTCAATTTGCATAATAAAGAGCACCCAAGAGCGATCATGGTAACCGCTCACGTCTTTATTAGCTCGCCTATGTGGTGGTATGATGTTCAAGAGACGAGAATCGTTTGATGCTGGCAGGACAATACAATAGTACGTGGACGATCCGATGTAACCCGTATGCGTACAACGATCGGTCAGACGTAATATGTGTGCGTGCGGCCAGATGTCCAGAGCGTTTCATACCAGGTATTATGTATTATGTATTCTTAGCCGATGCAGATGGGCTTGGTTCGATGATGATCTATTACGCGTCATTTTTTGCACGAATGAGCGGGATATCTTGCACGGGCTATTTCTCGAACGATCCGAAGCCAACGAGAGGTAAACGTACCGATGCTCCTATTGCGTACGTCTAATCATATTTGGACGCGTTTGGACCAGACGGAGATGCGGATAATGTTCAGAAAGCGTTAGACAGTGGGTTTGCTTCTCACTTGCATTCGATTTTAGCGCATAAATATATGTTGTCATCGCTCGTTCCGACGCAGGAAATGTGTGGAGAGCCAATCAATGAGCTGTCGGCCCCTATGTCTGACGATCGGAGGCGCGACCGAGCGTTGGCTGGAGGAAACGAGCC